GCCGGATGCGTAGCTTCTGGTAGTTGGCCTCTCGTGCCTCCAGAAGCTTGGCCCGCAGGCTCGCATCGGCAACGACGGGGCACCCCTCTTGTCGGTGCGTGGTGTCCAGGCAGAACCGGCACGGTGGCGGTCCGGGAAATCTCCCGCCGGAGAACCGGACGCGTGGATCCTGCCCTTGCCTCCCGTACGGTCCTGTGCGCACGTCGCCAGGGTTGGCGGGTGGAACTGGGGCGCTCGCCGTCGACGATGCCGGCGACGGATAATAACTCGTCGGTGGCGAGCTCATCGAGGTTGGCGTGGCGGTTTGGTCCGTCACGGCCAGGATTGCTTCTTCAGCAAATCCCCCGGCCGTCGGGATGTCGGATGCCGACTCAACCGACAGCACGGGCCTCGTCCTTGCGGTGCGGTCGAATCTTCTAGCCACTCCGGACGGCCCTCGGTGAGCCATGGCTGACATCCCTTGTCGACGGGAAGCCCGATTGGTTTCCCCGATCGCTTGCGCATAGCGAGCGACGGATTGGTAGTCCACATCGGGGTGCGTGGCGAGGTAATTACGAACCTGCACGCACGTGGCGGGCAGTAACCCCTCGACGAACAGGGACTTCAACCGCCTGTCGGAGAATACCGTACCGCAGCGGAGTGCCTTGTCCCAGAGGTAGTTGCTGTAGACCTCCTCCGTCATTTTTGAACTCTGACGGAAGGAGGTCACGTCCCAAACCGCTTCGGAAATTTCCTCATCGGTCGCATAGGTACGCAACAAAAAGTTGACGACCTGCGGGTACGTCCTGAGCAGTTCGCGCCGCTCCACGTCAACCGCCATGGTATTTCCATTGAGACGGGACTGGAGTAGGGCGTGAGCCTGACCGGTGAGGTAGAACTGGAAGCACCACACGGCGGCTCCCTCGGTGATCCCGTTGTGGTCGCACGCCATCTTGAGGCGTGCGAGGAGTCCCAATACCGCAATCGGATCTTGACCGCTGAACGTGTGGGACCTCATCTGCACGTCCAGTTTTTTCCGGTAACGGTTAATGTGCCGCGCTACTGTGGAGTCGTAGCGCGAGCCACGCCGTTCCAGGCGGTAGGTCTTGTAGTTGACGGCCTTGGTAAACAGGTCATTGAGGGGCCTGATTACCGTGGGCCGTCGCTCGTCGCTCGTCGGGGCAGCCCGGCGGTGTCTGCTCGAGCGACGACGCTCCTCATCCGATCGGACTCGGAAGTCTTCCGAGTCGGATGGGTCGTGCCGGTGCCAATCTCGGCTTCTATCGCGGCGTGCCCTGTGTCTTTGCCTACGAGAGTCTTCCGAACCGGATGGGTCATCATCGGAGGGGTATCCTCCCCCTCCGGCATCGCGGTATCGCCCGTGGCGTGCCTCGCGGTTATCGCGGTATCGCCAGCGGCGTTCCTCGCGGTCTTCATCCGTCTTGTGACGGGGGTCTTCTGCGTCGGAATACCGGGTGTATTCCGCTTCGGTCCTGTGCGTGCCGGGTGCACGTCTTCTGCTCAACCGGTACGGGTCCCGATTCTCTGTCTCGGGGAGCCCCAGGCGGTTGTCTGTCCCGCGGGGGTCGCCCGTACCGGCGTGTATGGGGAGGACATTTTCTGTGGTCCTCCCTGTAGCACCGTGAACGGTTGGGAGATAGATGGCTCTGCCCTCCGGGTGAGGGTCCATCCTATCAATCCCGGGTACGGCGCCGATCGGATCAGCGATATTAAAGCTTGAGTCCGGAACGGTTTCACGGCGCGGCGCCGGCGGCGGTACCGCGCCTCCCGTTTCGGTAAATGTCGTGGCCAGACGGATGGCCACGGCGGAGCTAATAGCTCCCTTTAGAGCCAATGCGGTCGGAGATTCGTCCTCCTCCGCGGCGAGCGCTGCCACCACCTCGTCGCGTACGAAGGGGGCGATCTTCTTGTCCAGCAGGGCGCGGAGCGCGGTGTCCGCATGCTCCGCCACCAGTCTTGGTGCCGTTCGGTCGAGGCAAACCTGGACGACCTGAGGTACTTCCTCAGCGAGGAAATCCTCCATCCAGGTTTGTAGTCGCGGGAGTAACGCGTCGTACAGTACTTGTACGCGGTTCCCCCCACCAGCCGGTAGCCCGGCGGTGGTGTCCGACACGGAAGGGATCTTCTGGCCCCTGGTAGACGGCGGGCGTAGCAGGGCTTCCGGGTTGTCGATCCGGGGGCGCTGTGCGCCTCTGCCACTGCGGGTACTTGCTCGCCCGGAGGCGGTATCTTCTCCGGCGGAGTCCGTACGGTTCATCGTCGATGATCACTGGCGATCGACGCGGTGATTTTCGACCTCTTTCAATCCGATCGGTAGTTGCTTGCGCTGGCGATCCAGTGCGGGCTCAACCTCTGTAGTTATACCCTCCACAAGAGTACCAAAATGTGGTATAACTACCTTCGTCCCGACCACTCGGAACGAGGGGGGTTAGAGGTAAGGGAGCGCGCGCCGCTGGGTAACCCACGCGAGCGCAAACCGTACGGAAGGACTCGAAAAGAGGGAAGGCTCACGTGGCCGGTGACGCGCAGCCGGTCGGTGGTGTTAGATCCGGACGGCCGGTCACGGGTTAGAAGCCTGAGACTTAGAGGTAAAACCGGACGGAGTTAGCAAAAAGCCGTAAAGGGAAGGGAGGCGAGTCTGCCCCCGTTTACTGGAACGGGGCAGGTGCCCCCGGTCTTAACCCCTAAGTGGGACGCCAGGACACCTGTCCCGCTACAGTAGCTGTTACTTACTGTATACCAGCTACTGTGCTAAATTGGCTAATTTGTGCCATTAACTACTAATTACTAATTACTTACCGTTCGGATCCTACACATGTAACCAGCGGGGTACTACTGTACTCCGCACCGGCCGTGTGCTGTAAATATAACTCCTTACAGTTCTTCTCGCGCTTACAGCCCATCGTACTGTATCCCGGGGCGGCAGCGGTGGCGCCGTTGCCTTCGCGCTGTTGTACTACAAGTAGAAGGATGGCACGAATGTCTATTCTCCTAAATATTCTCATTGGGAGGTGCAACGCGGCATGCGACTGTCTTTCCATGCGATTCCTCTTCTGATCACTTCACAAGCCCGTCCTCTATTCTCCTCATTACCTTCAGCATCGTCGAAGCACACAGGGCTTCTAACATCGCCGAGAACCGGCGTCAGCTTCCACGTTCCACAAAGGAGCTACCGTCTCCTTGGGGGTCGTATGAGACCAAGTCGACGTAACATATCTGCAACTTTGTCCCTCTCTTCTGTATTTTCCCTTACGCGAACCCGCCCTCTTTGCATTGCTTGCTCCATGTGCCAATTATTTTGTGTATGCACGAAAGGCGTTCCTCGTACATCGTTCTCCTGTGCTGTATCCAGAGTCTCGAAATAGTTTTTACCATCGCTTTCAAGTAAATAGTTATGAATTTTGCAGCAAACAACAACAATTAGAGTACTGCAAGACACCGAGAAACGAAGGGGTGACCAAAAAACGCCGAAGCGAGAAATCAGCATTCCAAAGGCTTGCTCAACAGTGATGCGACAAGACGACAAATAAAAGTTAAACGCGTCCTGTCTCTGGGACAGGCCAAATCCATTGTATGGTGTCAACACACGCTGACTATTAGCATAGGCGTCATCGGCCGCAATGCATGCCCATGAAGGCAGACCCCCTTGTTTCACTACCGAATACAATAGCGTGGCTTGAAATGCCGTCGAATCATGAGTGCTACCCGCATGGCGGGCAGAAACAAACACAAATCTGTAGTCTGCCGCAACAACGGCTTGCACACATAAAGCGTAGAACCCTTTTCCGTTGAAGTACTTGCGTGGATCTGGAGTGTCGTGCAACGTAGGTTGGCGTACTTTTATAGCAATGCCATCGATTGCTGCGATGATACCTTCTAGGGGCGAATTGCGCAAACTTTGGAATTGCTGCACTGCTGCTTGGCAACTTGGGATAGAGGTCGGAAATTCGATGGGTGCAAGCACTTTGTTGAGGGCTTGCAATGTTTCATGAAAGAATGGGTATGTGGTAGACGTTGCCAAACCATAAGACCAACCAGTATCTAAGTAGCTAGCCCCTGCTAAAATCCGCATTGTGATGCAAAGCATAGTTTCAACGCTTTTCGTTGCGTTTGTGCAATTTAGTCGAATTTGAGACCTCTCTAGCACCGGCCGCAACTTTTTGCAAAGGTCTTGAAATTGTGCCGGAGAGAGGCGATATAGTTTTGTAAATAGGTCTTCACCAAGCAACGCCAGATGTTTTTCGAGACAGAAACTTTCTCTAATGACTGTGATCGTCCGTTGAGGAGGAACACGGCAACTAATTGACGCCTGTAAGATTGTTGAGAAAACTATTTGCAACGTCTCTCTGATTTTTCTTTTTTTCTCGATCTGCAATACTCTGCGGAACGGGAGACGCCGCCTAGTCACGTAGAGGAAACGAGCAGCCATCTTTCTCTTAAATTGCATGTGGCAGAGGGAATAATTTCACGATTGAAACGAGCAGGCATCGGTATCTGCAATGGCAGTCGCAGAGGGAACGATCGAGTATGAGCACTTCAAGGGTGCACACCTAGTACTCGAGTGCGATATTATTGGTTGTCTGTGAAAAGTTTCTAAATGTTATAGACCGAACGGCCAGACGGAAATTGGAAATCGCTGCATTGCTGTCATATTTCTGATTTCCAAATTCCAGCTTCGAAAAACTCATAGAATGACCCTCAGATCAATAGAGCTTCTGAATCTTGGCAATTCTACTAAAGTTGTGCGCAGAAATTAAAATTAATTTTGCCAAAAACCTGTCACAGACACCATTGCCCCTCCAATATGCCATTACAGCTCGGCCGCACAATGCGTATAATTATCGTTAAAAACACACCATTAAACTCTGTAAGATCGCACGAACACAGTATACAGTCGACCCTACGCATTAGTGCCGCCCTGTGTAAGGACTAATAATACGGCACTAATTCGGAGCGGCACAACCAGAAAACAGAATCACTACCCGGCCAGAACTCTGTTATTAGAGTCTGCTGTTGTTGCCTTTCACCTGTCTCTCATGCCTAGCTTCTAGAAAAGCTCGTTTTGCGGACCTCAAGTGCGAAAAGGCATTGCTCACATCGCACTCCACACCCAGACTCTCCAAAGATCCAAACAACCTTGCTAGTACTACAGCACTCGGTACGGCCCGCCTCTCCGTAATTTCACACTCGTCTTCTGCCACACAATCATCCATCATAGCATCACTGGCAGACTGATTCTGTAGCTCTCCACCATAATGTATTGAACCGCAAGCACCACTAATAGAAGCTTCTGGCACAAGCTCATTAGTCTCGATCTCAATCCATTCCTCCACATCTTTCCTGCAGAATTCTGCAGTTTCTGCAAGGCCGTCTTCTGGCACCAGGCTCAGTCGGGAGAGAAATCCTACTATACCATCCACCATAGGTTTATCAATTTCTGTTTCATTTCGACCAACTTTCCGACCTGCAGCAGATGCCCAACCTCGATTTTCTGTGCAATCGTAAGACGCGTACGCTTCGCTTTGGCGATCTTTTCAGGATTCATGTTAGGGTCTTTGAGTGAGGTGCCATCACGTCACCAATTGAGCTGAGGCGCATGAGGAGTGGCCGATGACGACGTCGTGCATGACACGTGGCAGAACCTGTGTCTGCCGGTTTTGGCGGCACTAATTCGAGGGTGGCAATAATGAAAGCGGCACTATTGCGCGTCCCCCCCCCCTGTACCCCAAGCACCACATCATCACGCAAAAGCCACCCAACCTTCTTCAGCGAAGTTCGCTGACGGGATATGTCTGTGTTGGTTCACTGAGCGAACCAACACAGACTTATCCCGTCCAGCCGGGTCACTCAAGCGTGCCATCAAGCCATGCAAGCCGCGAGCCGCCTTCTAGTTTCGCGTCTCCCGCGCCACTCAACGGCCCTCACGCGGCATCTCTCGACCTCGCGCGGTGTGCGCCGCCCGCCCGCCGCGACGAATCCGGGCGTCACCGCCGCCCAATTCCGCGCGCTCTTCGACACCTCGCCCGCGTCCACGGCGCGCGGGCGCGCGCGTCCGCGCCACTTCCGCTGGGACTGGCACCTGCGCAACTTCCTGATGGCCCTGATCCCGCCGGCCGTGCTGCTGCTCTTCCTCAGGGTCGCGACGTACCAGTTTGGCGGCGACCACGCTATCTACGACAAGATCTTCGACCCGGCCCCCGGGAGCCCGGCCGCACACACGCCCGCACCCGCCTCCTCGCAGGAGGGCCTGGCCCACGCCGCACTTCAAGGCCGCCACATAGAGGAGCGCCTCGCCCATCTGGAGAGGCAGCTAGGCGGTCTGCAGAGCCGTGCCCCGCCCGCCACAGATCATAGTATTCTGATCGAAGGGAACGCAGACGCCGGCCCCGCCGCGGACGTGCGCGCCGATCGGGTTGCCAGAGCAAGAGATCTCGCTAGGGCGATGTCCCGAGATTCGCCGTCGTGAGATTGTGGCGCTTCGTTTGCGCGCGGCTGGTCCGCCGCGCCGCGGCGGCGCATGCCGCGCGTGAAAATGGCATCGGGGTCGCGTGTTCGGTTCCGGCAAAGGCGGTCCGAAACGACGCCCCGCGTACAAGAGCAGGTACCTATTTTTTGAACAGTGAATGGCAAAGTTGAACACCCCAAATTTTACTTTTTTTAACGTTTGAAAAACGAATCAAATTGAAACGCGCCCAGACTTTGCTCTCAGTGGGATGCTCACTAGAAGCGCCATGCTAGACCCGAAGAATGCTCTCCCGTTCTCAAGTGCAACATGAGGTTTTTTACGAGGGTGGAGCATGTGGGCTGGACTGCATCTGATTTTCCGAACTTGAAAAACGAATAAAATTTGACGTTTCAACCACTTGTCAATGCACCGTGGCGTTCAATAAGAAAAAATAAATTTTCCAAAAAAACAGAAAGTGTTCAATAAATAGGTGCCCGTTCTTGTAGATTAGATATTTGGGTCCTAGATATTTTCGTGTATCGCCGTATCCGGCACGGGTACCCGCCGAGACATCAGTATTGAGGAGACGCATGGTTCCAGCCGTAAAAATATGGAAGCATGCAGCGCTTGTCAGGGATACGGCCCGCCAGATGCGCTCCATGCTCCATTTGTCTCCTGGCTTTTCCAACACCGTGCCCACAGCATCAGTCCGCTACGAACTCTGTACGTCAACGTGAGAACTGCCCAAGCGTCGTGAGTGTGGAAAGCGACACCATTCGCCAAGTTAGTGCGATAAGAAGTGTGAAAAAAAGCTGGGCACACTCCAGCTGCATTCGTGCTTTTCGTGATTGGAATCAGAAACTATTGCTTAACAGACAGATTTGTCATGCCTCGAAGCGAGACTATTGAGGAGACCCCCCCTGTATCTGAAAAGATGGCCTTAGAGCATCACCACCGGTAGGTGATCAAATGACCAAACTCAATTGGCTGGTGGGAATTTGGTTATTTTACGTATAGAGATTTTTGAGGGTGACCCGCTGCACTGAAAAGACTTCGCAGATCTCGCATGTCTGCCGTCTTGCGGTGGCGGACAGGAGATCGGCTACATGCGACAGATTGTGGTAGGTTTTCATTCATCCGCGAGATACAACACCTCGCACTTACAGAGACTGGCTGCAACTGTGACGGGGACATCGTAGATAAGAAAAAACAAAACGACAATGTGGAGGTATCTACATTCATTCTTTTCCAGTCATCCGCGAGATTCAACACCTCGCACTTACAGAGACTGGCTGCAACTGTGACGGGGACATCGCAGATAAGAAAAAACAAAACGACACTGTAGAGGTATCTACTAGATACCTCTACATTGTCGTTTTGTTTTATACTATCTACATTCATTCTTTTCCAGTCATCCGCGAGATTCAACACCTCGCATGTAGAGAGACCGGCTGTAACTGTGACGGGGACAATGCAGGAAAGAAGGAACAAAACGGAAAAAAAGAGGTATCTAAAAAATTGACGAGTTCACAACGCTACCTTGCAGAGATGATCTCTAGATATTTAGTGGTGGGCTATGTGTAGTCAAATAGTTGCAATTTTACAGTCAGCCAAACCCAAGAGCATGTGATATTTGAAAGTCGTCAATCGATAGCCTTAACCTTCGTCCGAATCGAGCACTTTGGATCCATAGCCAGATAGTGCGTACCCTAGTCCGCCCCCGGAACTTTGTTCGAACTGGGAGAGGTCGATGGAGTCAAACATTCCGAACTCATGCTCTGGCATTTCTAAGTCATCCATAATGTCATGTCCTCCTCTCTGCAGAATTTCTCCTCCGCCCCTAACGGTCATCTCTCCCAGCACATCCGTGTTCGGTTGTGTAGAGAGAGGATCTTGTGATAGTCTGTCAAATCGGCATTCTATCTGCAACGCAACCTTGGAGATGTGACCATTGCCGTGGTCATTTTCTAATCTACGCATGTCTTCACCCATGGAAATTTCCTCAAACCGTTGTCGCGTTGGTGCAAACGCATTAGGTTGACTTTCCTTGTGACTAGCTTCATTCACAACCATACGTGCATCATTCATTTGTCGTGTGGTGTACCCCTCTCGAGGTTGCAAATTATCGTCGTTACGACCCGTTTCTAGATTCGTCGACTTGGGCGCCTGTGCTTCTTGAGGAGAAGGAATTACCCCCGCAGTTCCTTCTCGGTCTACTGCCGCAACTGTTGATTGTGCTGCGGCAGTGGCAGCTTGAGCGACACCAGCCGGGTCTGGCCCTCGGTTGGTATCCAGTACAGGTAGGGCCATTCTTTGTTCTCGTGAGGAAGTAGACCCTGATGAACCCGAATTTAGCAAGTAAAGTTCCCCTGCAGCCGCTGCCGCTGCTGCTGCAGCTTCCATCACCCCTACATCGGAAGATTGTTGTCCACGAAGAGAACCTGCAGGAAGTCTTTGAGTAGCCCCATTTCTTGGTACGAGCCCAGACTCTGGTGATTTTCGCCTCGATGACCCAGCACTTATAGATGACTCCTTCCCTGATCCGCTCGGTCCCTCCAGTTGTGTATCCCCTGATACGTCCATGCTTTCCACGTTACTGTAGGACAGCATACCCAGGTCTTGTGGCAACGGCGTTTGACACGTAGAAAATGAGTGGTCTTGAAACGATTGAAATGTTTTGATATTATCACTTTGAAGTGGGTCGATTGGAGCTGGCGGAACATTGCCGTCTTGGAAAGCAGAAAAGTGGCCCGAAATATCGCCATGAGATAGAAAGAAACCCGAAATGTCCCCG